GGTTGAGGATTGTTGGAGACTTCATGGAGGTGTTAATCTAGTTGAGAAACTTGCGATTTGTAGTAAATTTCTTGATGAGTGGGGGCAGAAATATCGATGCAAATTTAAAGTGGAGCTGGATGAGTGTAGACACAAATTAAAGCAATTGAGAGGTAGGAGATCACCGTTGGATCGTCAAAACTTTCTACAGGCTAGAGCAAGGATCGCTGAAATATATATGCAACGTGAGCTATTCTGGAAACAAAGGGCAAAGGAAGATTGGCTGCAAGGGGGTAATCAAAACACACGTTTTTTCCATGCTAAGGCATCTGCTAGACAAAAGAGAAATCGAATTGAGCAGCTGAAAGATGTGAATGGGGAGTGGCAGAATTGGGATACAGGGCTTAGTGAGGTGATCTTGCATTATTTTGTGGATTTATACTCAGCACAGGCGTAGATGTGAAAGGGAAGTGGCAAAGAATGGATACAGGGCTTAGTTGGAGGTGATCTTGCATTATTTTGTGGATTTATACTCAGCACAGGCGTATCCCAGATAATATTATCATCCTGGTTCCTCAATGTGTGTCTGAGGATGAATAAATCAGTTTTTGCTTGAGGAACCTTTTTTCAGCAAGAGAAAGTGAAGCAGGCTTGTTTTTTAGCATGGGTTGCGAAAAATCTCCCCGGGTTGCGATGGGTCTGAAACCTAGGATTTTATCAGCGACATTGGAATATTATGGAAACTGACGTGAAGACCTTTGTATTGCTTGTGCAAATTCAGGGGTACAATTTCCTAATTGAATTGGAACGAAACAGTGTTGGATTTTAGTTCCAAAAAGCAAACTCCTGAGAGTATTGGCTGATTTTTCGCTGCCATTGCTTTTGTGCCAAGTGCTTTACAAAGATCATAGCGAAGTTAATGTATTGCGAATAGGCCTCAAAGCATTCTTCCTCATGTTATTTCTCCCACTCAGAGTGCCTTTTGTGGAGAAAAGGCATATCCAGGACAATTCAATAATCGCTTTTGAAATCTCTTTCCATTATTTGAGAGCCTCGAAAGCATGGTCGGTCGGATTTGCTGCCTAAAAAGATATTAGTAAAAGCCTATGATAAGACTTGAATGGGGTTTTTTAAAAGCAGTAATGGGAAAGGGTTTTTTTAGCGAGAAAGTTGGGTTTGATTTGCTTTAATTTTTGTATCTCTTCATGTATCTTATAAAGTGTTGCACAAGGGAGTTTTAATTGGTCCTAGTTATTCCAGAAAGAGAAGGAATAACGCAGGGGGACCCTTAAGTTCCATACTTATTTTATTAATCTGTGCTGAAGTTTTGTCCCGATTGATTCAAGCAAAGAGAGAATTGGGTTCTATTCATGGATTAAAGTGAATTTCTGGAGGCTCCCAAACTGTGTCCGCATCTGTTCTTTGCAGATGATAGTGTTTTGTTCTATTAAGGCCACCGAATGAAGTCAGACGGTTTAGATTATTGTTGCAGGACTATGAATTAGCATCAGGTCAGGCAATTATTTTAATAGTCTTTGATTATTTAGTCCCTAACACCGAAGCTACCATAAAGATGGATATTTGTTTCTCTGTTACAAAGTTCGGAGAGCCATGATGATCTTGGCACTTATCCTGGGACTCTCCTAGGTCGATGGGGCGAAATAAAAGGATGTGTTTTGGCTATCTTAAGGACCGTGATGGAAGAAGCTAAACTCATGGAAAGGCAAAGAATTATCTAGTCTGGCAAAGAATTTCTCTTGAAGACGGTTCTCACAAGCCGATACCGAATTAATGTTATGAGTTATTCTTAATTCCCCCAAATCTCTTTGTGAGGCACTTGAGAAGATAAGTGTCGATTTTGGTGGGGTACGAACAGAAATAAACATGGTATTCACTGGATGAAGTTGGGAGCGCCTTTGTCGGGATAAACAAGCCGGAGGACTTGCATTCAAGCACGCTAAGGAGTTCAATATTGCCCCTTCTGGGGAAGATTGGATGGAAAACTGTTGAGGAACCCAATTCTCTTATTTTCCCAGACTCTTAAAGGCGAGGTAATTTTTTGCCAAACATACGTTTTCTCGTGGAAGCTCCTTTGGGTAGTAAAACCAAGCTATCTTTGGAGGAGCAATCGGAGAGCCAAGCATTCGGGAGAGCCAGGAGATTATCAAAAAGGGGTTTTACTGGAAGGTGGGAGGAGGCGAACGAATTGCTATTTGGACTGAGCCGTGGCTAAGGGATGTTGTTAGTCCTTTCATTACTACTCCGTTTGATCCTAGATTTGGTGTCTATTATGTCCATGATTTGATTGATAATGGCCGGTGGAATTTACAGCTTATAAGGGACACATTTAATGCTCGTGATGCTGATCTCAATTTGCGTACTCCTTTGATTGCTGGAGCAGTAGATGCAGTTGCTTGGAGGTTTGAAGAGAGAGGTAATTACTCAGTGAAGTCAGCATATAAAGCTCTCACAGTAAAATCCCATCAAGTTGTGCCTTCAAATCCAGTTAATGTGTGGAGTCGATTATGGAAAATCAGAGCACCACCACAGGTCACTAATTTTATCTAGTTAATGGCATCCTACCAACTCGTGATCATCTAAGAAAAAAAAGAGTGGTGGTTCCATCTCATTGCCCATTATGTAGTCAGTGTGATGAGAATGATCTTCATTTACTGGTCAATTGCTCTTTCTCAAAGCAAGTTTGGCAAGCTTCTTTCTTAGGTTGGTACTCACCTATTGTGAACTCTTTTCAGGAATGGCTTAGTCAAATTTTTCGCATTTTTAATGACAAGGATGCAGCAATGGCATTGACTGTGTGCTGGCAAATTTGGAAGTCTCGCAATAATGTGATATGGAAGCAACAATTTCCATCGGCTATGGCTATATGGATTATGGATGAGGGCGTGGAGGTTTATTGAGGATTGGTCGAAGGCAACTGCTGTTGTGGGAAGACGTCCTGCCACTGTGATTAAATGGCAGCGACCTGAACTTAACTGGGTTAAAGTTAATGTCGATGCGGCAGGGACAGTGGGCGACTCTTGTGCTGGATTTGGAGTGGTAGTAAGAGACAGTAATGGAGCTGTGCTGGGATTGAAGATTGGCAGGTTTGGAACGGGCTTAAGGCCAAAGGAAGCTGAGGCTATGGCAGTCAAAGAAGCTTTAAGCTGGCTGGAAGGAAAAGGATGGAGCAAATTAGTTGTCGAAAGTGACAACTTGATGGTGATAAATGCACTAAATGACAAGTCTTATTTGGATGGTACTGTATTTGGTGATATTATCTATTCTATTTGTCAGATTTCTTCACGGATTAGAAGTGAAGTTAAGTTTAGACATATTTATCGTTCGTCAAACGAGATTGCTCATGGGCTTGCCCAAGCATCTAGAACATTGTCGAATGTGGGGGAGTGGTCACATGATTTCCCTCCCTTTGTAATATCTATTTTAAGTTTGGATGATTAATATATTCCAGCTTTCTTCAAAAAAAAAAAAACATGGGACTGAAATCTCCACAAGAGAGCAAGACCACTACTATGTCCCACACAATCAACCACAAACGCACCAAAAAAAAAAAAAAAAAAAAAAAAAAAACTTCTATAAAGTTGACTTGGCACTCTATTGCTTGAGCTTTTCTTTTTCTGTTTTTTTATAAATTTTATAATTTTTAATAACTTTTTAAATTTTTTCTTTTTTCTTTCTACATTTTAATTTAATCTTAATATTTAGTAAGAAGATAGAAAGTAAGTTAATTAAATTTTGAAATCAAATCTTATCTATTTATATTTGTACATAAATAACTTAGAGATTTTAGCTATTGGCTTCCATAACAGAGCACTAAAGAAGAGTCTCCACACTATCCTTTCGGACAAGTTGTAAAGAAGGTTGATTTTTTTTTTTTTTTTTCCTCTTATTGGGAATTTATAGTTGAACAAAGTGAAGCTTTTACTGTGTATATTTAATTCTCTAATTCAGATTATTGCTATTTACTTCTGTTTTTTTATTTTTATTGCGGGAGGAAATAAAGGTGGAGATTGAAGATTCAATTTAACTTATTATTAGCACAAAAGTCATTGATGAATCGACTAAATCTGCAAGAGTGAATATTTATTTCTGTGTATGATGATTATTATTGAATTGTATATTTAATTTTTTTAGACACGATTTTCTTATAATTAAATTTTTTTTTTTTGTGATATGATATGTCCGTATCAATATATAATGGGGTAGTTAAATCCTGATACAAATTCTCTCCATAATAATAATATTATACTGATGAGCAAAATATAACATTTGTACATTTAATTCTTGAAATTAGCATGGAAATTCGAATAACTGCTTCAATATATTGATATTTTAGTATTTAAAGTTAATAAACAGTTAAATATGAAATTAAATTCAAAATATTAATTCTTAATATTTATGTAGATTATGAAATAATATAAATGTATTAAAAATAATTTGTAAATTATTATAAACTATGAAGTATAATATATAGCAACAAAACAATCCGTGCAGTGCGCAAGTTTTCACCCAGTTAATTAATAAACTTTGATACTTTCTTGAATACTCCATGATTTAAATGAGGGTATAATTATTAATTTTTAATGATCATATTTTCTGTCCTGAAATATTTTACATTTGCAAACAGAGAAAAATAAATTTAGTTTCTTCCCTGTAAAGAAAGTTTGACAATTCCTCACGATTTTCCTCTGTTATTTTTCTTCCTCTAATATTTCCCTTACTCTTCTTTCCATCTTTCCAAACAAAGGGTAAGGGACCCAATTGAGGTCAAATTCCTCCATATTTGAAATCTAAAAAATAATAATAGCAACACTTTTTCAAATTTTATTTTATAAACCATTTGTTTTTATAGAATAATATTTTTTTTCTTAAAAATAAAGACTCCCTCTCTCTCTCTATTTGATTCGATTCAGTTATTCAGTATTAAAACCGAATCAAACTTGAAAGGGTCATTCAGTTCGATTTTTGTACCACCCTAATTCTGAGTTCTTGTTCTGATCCAATTATCATCGCAAAACAATCATACATTCTGAAGCACACTAGAAATACAGAGGCCATGATCATAGATCAACAAACACTCAGTGACACAAGAAGCTACCAACCTAATGTACATGAGACAAAATTCCAAAATTTGGTTACGATCAAGTTCCGATTGAACACTACTAACAAGCAGAAAAGTGCCCAAAAAATTTTAATCAATGATGCTTTGATCCCTTGAACAAAATTTTTTTTGGGGGGTCTCAAGGAAAGCAAGCTAAATATCTTCAGTCAGGAAGAATCTGCTCACCGTCTGCATCTGCTTCTGTCTCAATCTTAGGCTTGCCAGCTTGCCCAGCTCCTGGGGCCTGTTTCTTCTTGATCCCACTTACAATGTCGTCAATTCTCAGAAGCATGGAGGCTGCTTCTATTGCTGTCTTGAAGGTTTGTGCTTTTACATTATATGCGTCCCATATCTGATCATATAATAAAAAGACACTTGTCAGATAAAGTAGATGACATGTTTTTGTCTTTTAACTTCCAACACAGCAAAAGAAACTAGTACAACAGCAAATCTAGTAAAATGTACAAGAATCTGAGGAAACAATTGAAGAACTGTACGTGTAGTGAATAAATTAAAAAATGACATCACCCATGCCTCAAGATCATAAAAGAAATCACACATCCCATAAATTCAGATTATGCATATCTAAAAGAAAGCCAGAAATTTATTTCAGAAAGAAACCATCTAACTTCATCTGTACAGAAGTTCCAATGGAGAATCAAATTCTACCATAATGAGAAGAGTAAAATGAAAAATATTGCCGTACCTTCCTCTCTTTCATATCAGTAATTTCGCCAGTGTTCCCATCAATGCCAATCCATGCATTGTCACCATTTGCATGCTGAGACATACACATAAAAGGAAAAAAAAAAAAAAAAGATTGATTATGTTAGAAGTTGAACTATTGTTCTCAAAAATATAAACAAAGCACCTTAAAAGTTCATACTTTTCCTTGGAGCGCAGTCATGGTCCGAATCACATTAACACCACAATTCTGAGCCAAAGTTCGTGGTATAGCCTCAAAAGCTATTGCAGCAGCTTCATAAGGCCACTGTTTTACGATCACAAACCAAAAATATAAATAAAAATATAGAATTTATTCACGACATTTTAAAGAACTACTGGGAGCTAAATTTACTGGAGCGATCTGCTTATACTTTAAGAAAACCATTCACCTTTTCTATTCCTTCAATGGACGAACTCTTTTGCTTCAAAGTGGCAGAGACAGTTAACTCTGTAGCACCACCACCAGGAACAAGTTTTGGATTCTTAAGTATGTTTCTGGCCACAGACATGGCATCCTGTGTTGAAATTGGAAGTAACCTTCAGTAATTCTATGGTTATGCATGAACAGCTTTTGGACATCAATGAATTGCGTACCTGCAAATTTCTTTCCACTTCATTCAGCAGATCTTTACTGGCACCTCTCAAGAGAACTGTGCAAGCCTTTGGATCTTTGCAATCAACAATGAAAGAAAAGAACTCATCCCCAATTTTCTTAACCTCGAATAGCCCAGCTCCAGTACCAACATCAGACTCTTGCAATTCTTCTGGTCTGTTCACAATAACAGCCCCACATGCCTTTGCAATTCTATTATTGTCTGTCTTCCTCAGCCTCCTGATTGCACTGACACCAGCCTTGCTCAGATAATGGCATGCCAAATCGCTAAGACCTTTTTCTGTTATAACCAGATCTGGTTTAAATTTTAGAATCTGCATACACATGCCCTCGATATATTCCTCTTCCATTTTCAATAGAACTCCCCAGTCTTCTTCTTTAACCAACTCAGCATTTGTTTGGTTCTCGCCTTTCTTGTATTCAAGGGGGCAATCAAGAAGAATAATACGTGGATTCACAATCTTTCTCCTCATTTTGCCAGGGGCAACCACATCTTTGTTAAACGGTATCTCGCCTTTCTTGTATTCAAGGGGGCAATCAAGAAGAATAATACGTGGATTCAACAATCTTTCCCTCATTTTGCGCAGGGGCAACCAACATCTTTGTTAAAACATAACTCCCTTTGGAGAACTTTGGAATCTTCCAACTGAACCACCAGGTACCTTCTCAACCTTAATTGTACTCTTGATATCAACTTCTCGCAATCCCTTGGCCAAGATCAACACCCACTGTGCTGGTGGCCATCAATTGCTAGATCCTGGAAAGTTAAATCAAAGCCAACACATAATAGAAATAACCAACACCAAATTTCAAAATGCTGAATAACATAACTGTTTTTGAATCACAGTAATACTCCATTGCAAAGCCTATTGAAATCGAATGACAGAGATACTTATACAGCAATCAAAGTCCAAATTGACTAGTGAAACTTTTGTCCCTATACAACTCTTAACCAGCCCATCATTGGTGCACCTGCCCATGCATATACCATATGTTACTAACACGAAACTAAAAGACAAGAAATGTCGCCATGAAACTTTGTAGAAAATTATTCCTAATGAAAATGCCAAATTACATTTCCAGTAAACTAATCCACACTAGTTTCTAAGATAATAATTAATTAATTAATTAATTAATTAATTAATAAAGGTCTTTTAGCGCACTTGAAAGGCACGTGAATGTTTGAATATAAAAAAAAAAAAAAACTTTAATCCCTTTCTATTCCAGGATGGAGATGCACTTGATCAACCAAAACTAAATCTAGATATGAAAAATAACCATAAAAGAATCAGGAAAA